AGACGCTAGACCGACCCTGGAGACCACGATACATCCACCAGGCTCTTGCTAGAGGTCTGCGGATGCCTGGTGGCAACGCCGTCGACGTTTTCTCGCCGCTGAATCAACACCAAATGGACACCGTGTAAACAACAAGGCCACCAATGGACACCAATTGGACATCTACGTACTGGGAATACGCTACACAAACGCTAGAGGCCACGATACATCCACTAGGCTGTCGCTAGAGGCTTATGTTTGCCCCGTGGACATCCTGTGGACATCAACTTGCCGCTGAATCAACACCAAGTGGCCGGCGGGTAAACAACAAGGCCACCAATGGACACCAATTGGACATCTACACACTGGGAATACACTGGACAGACGCTAGAGACCACGATACATCCACCAGGCTATCGCTAGAGGCTTATGTTTGCCGCGTGAAGGCCCCATCAACGTTTTCTCGCCCCTGAATCAACACCAAATGGACAGCGGGTCAAGAACCAAACACTTATTGGACATTCAATGGATACCTACACACTGGACACATGCCAAACAGACACTGGAGACCACGATACACCTACTAGACGTTCGCTAGAGGCTTATGTTTGCCCCGTGGACATCCAGTGGACATCAACACGCCGCTGAAACATCATCAAGTGGGCGGCGGGTAAACAACGAGGCCACCAATGGACATTCAATGAACAACTACATGCTGGGAATACCTTGGACAGACGCTAGAGGCCACGATACAGCCACTGGACGCCCGCTAGAGGTCTGCGGATGCCTGGTGGTCACCCCGTCGACGTTTTCTCGCCCCTGAATCATCACCAAGTGGGCGGCGGTTAAACAATCAGGCCGGACTACAAGAATGCGTTAAACTGCTCGGTGCACACCAAAAAAATGTATGGGGAAGTTAAACTGCTTGGTAGAATTAAACTGCTTGTCAAAGCAGTTTAACTTCTTTTTTTAGTGCATTAATTAATGTAATTGGAATGACTAATTTATATCACTGGATTGGTGTGAATCTGAACTCTACAATGAGACTGATTTCATGTCGGTAGCCCAACTGTAGCGTAGGCAAGGTCGTATGTAAGATTTCAGGCTCTGTACGTGTGCTGTTGTGGTGAGTGAGCCATCAGTGCGGAGATAAACAGCTTTAAGCGGCGTTACGCGGCCGTACAACTCATGTGATATTCCACCTTCGGAATTATCGTTTGTTCACATCTTTGAATGTGGAAAGAACACGTCACGCGAATCCTCGGGATTCGGGACTGCCTTCTTTAATGGTGGAAGAGGAATTCCCCAAACAATTGTATTTCCTCCTACTTCTCGTTTAAAGGAAGAGAGAGCACTTTTATTTTATATTTTGGATTATATTGTTATTAAGATCATTCTTATTGTCATTATCATCTCTTTAGATCTATCTAGCCACACTGGTGAAAGGAACACTATAACATCGAGTATAGTGAAAGATATATTGTGACGGCGGTACAACTGGAATATAATATGAGCTGAACCCCGAAGAGCACACTCGGGTGTCT